GCTGACATCTTTCCCTTCCCTGACATCTTTCCCTTCGCTGACATCTTTCCCTTCCCTGACATCTTTCCCTTCCCAGACATCTTTCCCATCCCCAAGGGAAACGTGTCCCGTGCGAAATAAAGCTGTATCCCGCTGAGAATTCCATCTGTGCCTCGCTGCCTCCTCCATCCGCGCCCGCTCTCTCCAACATTTTTATCTATCATTTCCAACATATATATATGTATATATATATAAAATATGAATATAAACAATATATATGTGACTCATATATACATGTATATGTATGTGAAGTGTGTGTGTGTGTGTGGAAGAACAGGTAGTGCATTGGAGAAGTCTTTGAAGCCAGTTCTTTGTGCTTATCCTCTTTTTAAAAATATTTTATTTATTATTTTTATGTGTATGAGTATATTGTCTGCATGTAGGTAAGTGCACCCGTGTCGTGCAATGCCCGTGGAGGACAGAAGAGGCTATAGGATACCCTGGAACTGGAGTTATGGACAGTTGTTGGCTGCCATGTGGGAGCTGGGATTTAAACCCGGGTTTTCTGCAAGAACAGCCAGTGTTCCTAACCACTGAGCCATCTCTCCAGGCCCTTGCTTATCCTCTTCTATATTATGGTTCTTTTTTTTTTTTTTTTTTTTTTTTTTTTTTTTTTTTTTGTTTTTTTTTTTTTTTTTTTTTGTCTTTTTTTTGTCTTTTTTGGGACAGGGTCTCCTTGTAGCCCCAGCTGTCCTGGAACTCACCATGTATACCAGGCTGGCCTCAAACTCACAAAGATCCGCCTACCTCTGCCTCCGGAGTGCTGGGATTAAAGGCATGCGCCACCATGCCCGACTATATTATGGTTCTTTATATAGGACATTTTATAGTTGTGCGGCCTGTTGGAAGTCTGTTGGACAGAGGGTGTGTTGTTTAGGAAACAAACCTTTGGAATGCAGTTGTAAGCATTGCCCCAGGTACAACATTGTCTCAGAAGGTCAAGAGGAAAGCATTTTTTATAGAGCTTCTTGTTTGTGTAACCCCCAACGACATCTTACCAAGGTTGGAGGCATGTATCCATTTCTTAATTCAAGTAAGATGTTTCTTTGGAGACAATATTCCACAACAAATATCTACTCAAAACCCATGACAAACATTCCTGTCTATGGTCATTAACCATGAAACGTTGGTATCATTCTCACTGATGCCAAGCACACGGCTAAACTGAATAATGCTGTTGTTACTATAGGAAGGGTAAAAGACATAATAAATTTTACTGCTATGGAAGGGACTAGGAGAGGACTGGTGGAAAAGATTTTAAAAATTAAGATCGCTCTAATTCTGCCCAGCTGAAAACAAGGTGCTAGAGCATGGAGATGTGGACCTCGCTGTGGGTCCTCTCCCACGCCTGGGATTTTGGCAGGACAGTCCCATCATACTGGCGATCTCCAGTGGCCTTGACGGAAATGATCTGCCCCACTCACCTTCCTGCCCACACTGAAGGCCAGATGCCCGAGAGCACGTCTAATTGCCATGCATCTCCCTTTGCAAAAGCGCTAATTGCACCTGCTTCCCTTTCTTTTAGGTTTCCAGACAAGGCCAGGAATAACAAGGAGGCCCGTGTGTTAGCTGCAGCGTTTTGAACCACCCAGGAAGGAGAGCAACTGTGTGGACAGAACCGGAACCATTGCCACACTTGGAGTAAATGAGGAATGGACTCGTGATTATGCTGAGCTTCCAGCATGCATCTGGTAGACCTGTGGCTAACTCGTTCCCTCTCCATGTGTCTCCTCCTCCAAAGTTTTGTTCTTATGATACTGTGCTTTCATTCTGCCAGTATGTGTCCCAAGGGCTGCCTTTGTTCTTCCTCTGGGGGCTTAAATGTCACCTGTAGCAATGCAAATCTCAAGGAAATACCAAGAGACCTTCCTCCTGAAACAGTCTTGTTGTATCTGGACTCCAATCAGATCACATCCATCCCCAATGAGATTTTTAAGGACCTTCATCAACTGAGAGTTCTCAACCTGTCCAAAAATGGCATTGAGTTTATCGATGAACATGCTTTCAAAGGAGTAGCAGAGACGTTGCAGACCCTGGACTTGTCCGACAACCGGATTCAAAGCGTGCACAAAAATGCCTTCAATAACCTGAAGGCCAGGGCCAGAATCGCCAACAACCCCTGGCACTGTGACTGCACTCTCCAGCAAGTTCTGAGGAGCATGGCATCCAATCATGAGACAGCACACAATGTGATCTGCAAGACGTCGGTGTTGGACGAGCATGCCGGGAGACCCTTTCTCAATGCTGCCAATGATGCTGATCTTTGTAACCTCCCTAAAAAGACTACTGACTATGCCATGCTGGTCACCATGTTTGGCTGGTTCACCATGGTGATCTCTTATGTGGTCTATTATGTAAGGCAGAATCAGGAGGATGCTCGGAGGCACCTCGAATACTTGAAATCCCTGCCAAGCAGGCAAAAGAAGGCAGACGAGCCGGATGACATTAGCACTGTGGTTTGATGTCCATGCTGACTGGCGCTGGGAGGGTAGGTTCTGGTTACAGCAGCATAAGTGGTCCACGTCCCCTTCCATTGTATATGTTTAAAACTTTGTATTTGAGTTTCTTTGGAATCACATCATTGTTGAACTTTTAACAAAAATTACAACATAAGAAATAATTTTAGTTTAGGTGATCTTCCCCAGTTAACTGTACCCCTGGTGGTATATTCCTCAGTAAGAAGCTCTCTGAACATTAGTTAGACCCATCTCACTATTTAATAATGAAATTTATTTTTTTAATTTAAAACTTAATAAAAGCTTAACTTTGAACCATGGAACACAGAGTGACTTATTGGTTAAGAAGAAGTGTAGTCAATCTACTCACTTTAAAGAGCAAAAGATAACCCTGTGACTGTAAGGAACTGAATAAAGAAAGGTGTGTCATTAAGCCGTACTGCACCCCAGGAAACCATAGCTGAATTATTGGCCAGTTAAGTGTCCGCCAGACTTCCAAACCCTGAGGTTTAGCAAGCCACAGCGATTATACAAGTGTGCAACTCTCAGATGTGTATGTTGGAAGGCCCACTGGTTCTGCTCTTCAAAATGGGTCAGTTTAGCCATAAATAACAGATACTTGCTTCCATTTTATGCTAGATGCAATGGAAAAGTAAAAGGTAGCATGTATCCTATCCTCATGGTGGTTTTACGGTGGGCAAGGATGTATAAGCACAGAAATGGCTAAGTAAGGAAGGATGAGAGGCATGACTGTGTGGAAGCTGTATGTGTAACATCTGATACTATTCCTGTCTCTAAACTCTCAGTACTAGACAAGGAAATAACCAAGGCCATGTGTATGTGAGAGAGAGATTAATGACTTGTCAGGTAGGAAGTATTAGAACTTGAATTTGAACCAGGTAGCTCTGTATCTAAAGTCCGAGGTCTCCTCACTGATATGCCTTCCAAGTTGGTGTACAAAAGCCTATTTACATGATGAAAAAGCACCAACACTTTTGTGAGGTTTGAGAATTTATATACCTTGTGCATCTGCCAGCCAAAGGAGAGCTTCTGTCTGCATGCTAGTCAGAGATACGGAAGCACATTTGGCTCTTGGAGTGGGAGGTGATGAATTCGTTTACTTGTTTTAGGATAATTATAATCAATACATGTAAAGAATTGAAGCTAGGGGAGCTCAAGAATTAAGGGGGAGGCACCCAGAGAGAAGGAGTCTGTGTGAAGGGAGGGAGACAGGTTTGAACCCTGTAGTGATTTCAAACTGAGGGATAAAGTAATTTATAACCAAATATTATTTGTGGAACACTTTCTTCCAAATACTTTGATAGATCATCTGAATTGATGCTTGGGAGTTCCTACAAGATAGTCTTTTTGCTGGATAATAGATCCAGGATCCCAGAGCTCCTAAGAAGTCTAACGGATGCTGACACTCTGTTGTCCTTTGGCCCAGTCATAGGCATGGCTCCACAGGGGGCTGGTTCCTCAGACCCACTGGTTCACAAACACCTACGTGATAGTTCCAGTTAAAAATAGCTCTTTATGAGGCCTGTGTAGGAAAGAGGCCCTGTGTGACCCTATGAGACATGGGGTGTTCTCCAACCCACGTGACATCGTCTTTGGGATGCCAAAACTCATATGTCTGCCCTTGAAAAGCCCGAGCATTCTGATCTGTAGCTGTAATTGATTGAAAGGTTTGTTGAAGAGATCAGCAGGGTACCCAGAGCCAGGTGGACACATGACACACTCCAGGCCATTGTGTGATCACTTAACAGCACTGAGAAGCCTTGGCCTATCAAGGAGCCCAATACAACACTCAGATATAAAATTCTGGTTGTGGACCTGGAACTTCTGCACCCCAGTGAGACTAAAGTCCAATGGCCTGTCTTTCAATGCCCACTGGAAGACGACACTATAGTACACCTCTGTAAGTACAGCCATAGAAAAAGAGACCAAAGAAACCAGGAAATCAAAGCTATACAACGATAGTTCTTTGAAAGTTAAACAAATTGTATTTATCTGCAGGTAGGGTCACATTCATTTTGGAAAATTTTCCACAACTTAATCCATTCCAGATGGCTCCTTCCAAAGTAATCTTTAAATCCTAAGTAATGAGAGCACTGTCGATGGCCAGTTGCCCTGATTGAATGAAATGAAGTCTGTGAGGAGCTGATGAGTATAGTCACACCCTGGATCAGACATGATCAAACACCCACATCCTTGGTTTGTAATGCTCACATGCATAGAGCTGAGAGGTGCACTGTGGGCTAACAACCACTTCCTTCCCAAGTTCTGTGTGTAAATTACCAGGTTAGTGTCTTTAGTATTTCAGAAGTCAAACATTAATTTAGGCTGCTGTGTATTTAATAGAAGCTATTAGATGATTATTTAAAAAACAAGTAAAAATAATTAAAATGACAGATTATCACGTCTCTGTGTTACCAGGATAGAAGAGAAATGGTCTAATTGCAAGCTTGTAAGAAAATCTACCCCTGCCTCACCAGGTCAATAGTGTGTTGTGCCAGTGAGTGAATGAATTCTCCGTGCTGCAGCTTAGACCTCCGCTTACTCCCTCACTCTCCAAACCTTGTAGGCGTTTCTCACGGTGACTGAGAAACTTCTGAAATTAACTATCACATTTTGTCCTAGGCACATACTATCTTACCTCCAAATATTTTAAACAGCAGTGCCTTTTCTCAATCTGTGATCTTTCCTCTTAACCGCAACCTTTTAAATTAAAAAAAAAAAAAAAATAGCTCCCGGGGAATTTTAGTCTCATCTTTGACAATGTGCTTATCTTCAAAGCAAAACAGATCATAAAGCATGCCAGCTCAGCTGGAACACTTTTAAAAGTGATAACAACTTACATAATAAAAGATTTAACTTCCAATAATGCTTAGGCAAATTGTACGTCAGGGTATACAGAACTTGCCAGTGTGCTGTGCTTTCTGACGTCTCCCTCTGATTCCCCACAGTAACTCTTGCTCTGACGTCACCAAGCATGTCTGGGATGTCGTGAGCCTTCCTTACCGACTCAAGCCCTTCAGACAGTAAGGTCTCTGGTAGCTGGCAGAGAAACGAAACAGAGAATTCTGCTTATTACTGCTCGGTTTCTGAAGGTAGGTGAACTCCCACCGTATCCGGGCTGAGAATTCTTGGAATGCTCTCATCACTTATTTTACAGGTACTGAAACTGAAACTCTTGAAGTGTTAAGGATTCACATCTGTCTCCATGTTCCCTACAGGAGATTGCTTTCCTCCTAAGTTCTATCCCAGTCCTGTAAATAACATAATAATACACACTGTGACACTGCTACTGAGTAGTAGCAAATTTTTTGAGGATTCAAGTAGGACTTCTACTTTGCCACAGAGACAACGAATAGCTGTGACTCTGAAAACCTTGTTCCTTCAAGATTATATGAGATCTTTTTACCTGGCACCTTTCATTCCACATTTGCCCACATTCCTAACATGCTGGTACAGGGCATACTCAAAGACCCAGCCAGGGTCCAAGATGTTTTCCTTCCCACTCAAGAAAATGTTGTTCCTGAAGTCAAAAAGTAGACACAGAGTCTCATGGTTTCCTGAATGGGTGATAAAGAGGAAAATCTTTCAATTTTATGGGTGATACCTCTTCAGCATCAAAGAAACCAGCAGCTGTTGTGAATGACCGAAGAGGTCTCTTTGTCTCCTTCTGCCTCTCCATCTCTGTATCTGTCTGTCTCTCACTGTACATATTTGCATTAAATGACAACCAAGTTCCAAAAGCATCAGGAAGAGTTAGCAAGAACCTGAAGAGGTAGCATGCCAATAGTAACTTGGCCTAGGGATGGCGTGGACTTTAGATTTCTAGGGAAATTAGCACATTTAGTTTTAAAGTTGTCCCCAAATCAAGTATAAGGATGTATACCTGTGGTTAAGAGCCACATGTTAACTTCACGTGCTGTGTCCCTTCCAAGATGGACAAATGTTCTGCATTTTGCTATTTCGAAAAGGTCAGTGAATTTGTTTTCTTCTCCACACATGTGCGGACATGAGCAGGAGTGACAGGCATTCTCTGGATATGACCTAAGAAGCTGGCTTGAAGAGCACATTATAACTCTCAGGGGATCAGACCAAACTCTCATGTTTTCTCTGTTCCTTATTTTTTTTACTTTTTCTTGAACAGAAGAGGCTATAAAATAGAAGGCAATCTGAAACCTGCCTGTTGGTGCAAGGACTAATAAGCTGTCCATTGAGCTAATGGCATTGATTGTCGGGGAGATTTCAAAACATAGTGGCCCATGGGAAATGGGTAGGATGGGGTTAGCGCACACAAATTCAGTTTGCTTGGGATCATCTGAATTTTCTTTGAAGGAAAGCGGCTGAAGAATGCTGGTTTTCTTTCACAGTCTTTCAACCCACAGACAATTTCGGGACTCTCTAAGGAGCTAGCTGCTCATAACCAGACAGGACTACGAAATAGAAACAAAGAAAATCTCAGGAAAGCGCTACCTGTAGGAAGGTTCTAAAGGAACAAGCAAAACTGACAGACTGAGGTTTCCATCACTTTACCATCAATAAAACCTGTATTTCCATGTTGAAATATGGGCAGAGGAATCTGTGGATAAGTCACAAGCAAAGACTCATACGCAATAATTCAAATGTTCACCATATTCTTTACCCAATGCAGTTTTGCTTCTCCTTCCCTTGGTTCTTACAGCATCTATTATCAAGCACATGTACCTTTTGGCCCATTTTACAGATGAGGTAACTAAGACCTAGAAAGCACCCACCTGAGATCACCAAGCATTGTGCAGTGCAGGAGCCAGGCCAGCTGTTCACAGATATTCTCTGCCTTCATCATGTTGCCTGCTTAGGCACATTTTTAATTTTATCAGGTCTCATCTTCTTATAATAAATGGTGGACAATAAAGGACAGACATTTTTCTTAATTTGTACCAGAGGGCAGTGAGGGTCTAAGAGCAAAGCAAGGCTTCGGCCACTTGGCTGATTAGCAGGACCTGGTGTTTAAAGACTACACAGGCCTGTCCCTGTTTTACACCCGTCCCCATGCCTACTCTGACTCCCACCTATACCAAAAGCAAAGTGTGCTCGTGGCCAGAGAAGATGCTTAAACACTCTCAATCATGAGAGCTCTGCCCCTGGTCTCTGCGGTTACTCCTGGGAGGGCTGTGAAGGTGACATCAGCCCATGGCTTAACAGCAGCTAGATGCATCCTCGCTGTTTACATTCCCTTGCACACCAGTGCCGATGGCACTTCTGCATGCAGCTGCCTGAGGGTCCTCTCTGGCAACCAGAGCAATGTCTCCCCTCACACAGCAGCTGA